ATCACAAGTGAGGAAAGTGTGCTGAGAAGATGGAAGGAATACTTTGAGGAGTTGTTAAATGAGGAAAATGAAAGGGAAAGTAGAAACGAGGAACCAGAGACTAGTAGGAAGGAGGTAGATCAGGTAAGAAAAAGAAAGAAAGAAAAAACCCTGAAGAGGATGAAGAGTGGAAAGTCAGTTGGTCCCGATGACCAAGTTGAAGTATGGAAGTGTTCAGGAGAAGTGGCGGTAGATTTCCTGACTGGGTTGTTTAACAGAATTTTAGAGACTGACAAGATGCCTGATAAGTGGAGGAAAAGTGTTGTGGTGCCAATTTATAAGAAGGGTGATGCACAGAGTTGTAACAACTACAGAGGGATAAAGTTGATGAGCCATACGATGAATGTTGATGGAGAAGTACAGGGAAGGTCAGAAGGAGCTGCATTGTGTATTTGTAGATCTAGAAAAGGCATATGACAAAGTGCCAAGGGAGGAATTGTGGTTTTGTATGAGGAAGTCAGGAGTGGCAGAGAAGTATGTTAGGACATGTATGAGAATAGTACAACAGTAGTGAGGTGTGCTGTTGGGAGGACAGAAGACTTCAAGGTGGAGGTGGGACTACATCAAGGATCGGCCCTGAGCCCCTTCTTGTTTGCTTTGGTGATGGACAGATTGACAGATGAGGTCAGACAGGAGTCCCCATGGACTATGATGTTTGCAGATGACATTGTGATCTGTAGTGAGAGTAGGCAGCAGCTAGAAGAGAACCTAGAGAGGTGGAGGTTTGCACTAGAAAGAAGAGGAATGAAGGTCAGTCGCAGCAAGACAGAGTACATGTGTGTAAACGAAAGGCAGAACAGTGAAATAGTGAGGCTACAAGGAGCAGAGGTGGTGAAGGTGCAGGAGTTTATGTACTTAGGGTCAACTGTTCAGAACAGAGGAGACTGTGGAAGAGAGGTGAAGAATAGAGTACAGGCAGGATGGAACAGCTGGAGAAAAGTGTCAGGAGTGATCTGTGACAGAAGAGTGTCAGCTAAGGTGAAGGGAAAGGTTTACAGGACGGTGGTGAGACCAGCCATGATGTATGGTTTAGAGACAGTAGCAATAGGCAGAAGACAGGAGGCGGAGCTGGAGGTGGCAGAGTTAAAGATACTAAGATTATCTTTAGGAGTGACAAGAATGGACAGGATCAGGAATAAGGTCATTAGAGGGACACAGACAGGAAGGTTTGGAGAAAAAACTAGAGAAGCCAGATTGACATGGTTTGGACATGTGTGGAGGAGGGACAGTGGATACATTGGTAGAATGTTAGAGATGGAGCTACCAGGTAGGAGAAAAAGTCCAAAGAGGACATATATGGATGCAGTGAGGGAGGACATGCAGATAGCTGGAGTCAGAGTAGAAGATACAGAGAACAGGGAGAGATGGAAATCAATGATTCGCTGTGGCAACCCCTGAAAAAGGGAGAAAGCCGAAAGAAAAAGAAGAAAGATAATCATGCAATATTTTAAAATAATAGGTCACAGGGACCACTGGTATAGACGTAACTACTCCATCACAGACTAATACATGTTTCTGCAATTGATTATTATGTATTCAAGCTACAAGTATTGTATGATGTTCATTGCTGTGTAATAAAAAAAATGTTTAATTTCATATGTTAAGAAACCTTAACCTACAGTATTTTATAGGTTAAGCGGGCCACATTTGGCCCCAGGGCCTTGAGTTTGACACTTATGCTCTAGACTAAGAAAGACCACTCACTCTGAAGTGGTTTTTCACAACCAAAGAACCAAGAATAGACGTTTTAAACCTGCTCAATGATTAATATATAAACTTTAACTTAACTTTTTAACCCTTAAAGGCAGAACAATATCACTTGTTTTTATAATAAATAGAAATTGCAATGGCTATATCTTTAAAAAGTCAGTATCAGAAGAGTGAGTACAACTGAGTAGTTGTAAAGTTGTAATAGTTGAATAGTGAATCATGAATAGTTGAAGAGTTGAACCATTATATCATTTGAGGGACATACATTAATTCTAATAAATATTTACTAAGAGTTCAGCAATGAGTTGGTTTGAAAAGAGATAGAAATAGAACAATCAAAGAATGGAGAAAACAAATGACAAAAATAAAAATGCATCAAAATGTACTTTGACGGACATAGTTTAATGTCTTAACTTTAATTAACTATTAAATTGAAACTCACTTTAATCGTCACACACCACCCTAATTTGAAAGCATTCAAAGAAAAATAAATAAATGAATAAAGGGATAATTAATAACACTGAGGAAAACTATTATTCCTAAAATTACTGTTGGTAGATTGTTGATTGGTCTTTTCCAATTTATTCTAGTTTTCCAAATCCTGCTTATTTTAAAAAAAGCAGGGGAGATAAATTATTGAAGACAGGAGGTACTTTTTTCTTCTTTTTTCTTCATCTGTTTGTAAAGTACACTCCACATTGAGCAACAATTGCTCAAAATTTAAACAAAAAACAAAACAAAACAAAACACAAAAGCAGAAACTCATACATTACTTTTTTTTAAAATACATCTAAATAGATGACTGGTGAACAATAAATCTACACATGTGGTAACTCATGTATATCCACAATAGTGTAACATTAATCTGTGGATCTTAGGAAATATAAGAGCAATGTGAAAACTTGCCACAGCCTTTACATACATACACTATGTATACCACAAAAAACATGATTATTTAAATAGTATTGTAAATGCAGTGTATGAAGTTTATAAATACTTCAGTAATACAAGTGTTTTATAAAGTTAAAGAACAAAGTTGTTTAAAATTTTTCTGGCAAAAATACACCAGGCAAAATTCCTTAATGCAACATTTCAACATTTCTTGCTCTAACCAAAAAAAATACACTCTACCTTAAGAGTATCACTATGCTGTTTTGCTGTTAGCAAACAAGCTGATAATTTAGTGCGATAAAAAAGTGCATTAGTTCCTTACTTCGTACTTTATACTTATAATACTGAGTGATCAGTCATTTTTAACCTTCCGGCCCAACTTTGGTTTTTTGCATGGAGCCTCGTTCTTGAACCACAGTTTTCAGAACCCCGAATTAATGTCTTTAAACGGCATACACATTGGCCTGTTACGTTTCAACTGTCTCTCCTTAATAGTAGAATATATAGAATAATAGAAATACTATAATACAACATCACTTCAATCAATGCTAAGATACCGCCTGTATGAGCGGTATTAGTGGTTAATAGAACACCCACAAGAACAATTATATCTTCAAATCCGATACACCCATGCCTGCACTTAACCTTAAAGCAATTTTAAAGCAGTCTTTTCTCTGATTTTACATAGTTGTTACAATGTGACTGTTAATGTAGGTATAAAGTGCTCTGGTCTGCTTTACATTGTAATGTCACTGCTTTCTTCCGCCTGTAATGGTCCTCGTGATTTTTTTTTACCGCCGTCCTTTGTAATCCTAAGAAAAAATAATAGAGCTTTGTCATCAAAAATCAAACTTTCGGGGAAAATATGATTATTATACGTTTATGTTAACTTAAAAGTGATTTATATATATATAATTAATTGGCCATCGTTGACAAGAATAAAATATGTATGTTGCATTTGATTATTTGTGCTCAGGCATGTTTTAGGGCACCTTCTCATTCTGAGATATACTGTGACCTCTATTACTGTTGAAAATAGCGGAGGCAGAGTCCATTGATTTTATTTTTTCCTTATTAGACGATGTAACCAGTCTATGTCAAGGCGCAATGGTAATTTAAAGAGAATAACCCGTTCGTTTTGTGTACAGTCAAAACAAAACGTGCTTATGTGCTCCTCGCCGCTTCATTTGCGATTCGGGGTGTTCTGTGCTGTTGGGGTAGAATCTGTTTCACTGCATCAACATGGTGAGTACGACAGGGAGCGCCAGAATGTGATCTCTTATCTGTTTTTCGTTTAGGCAAAAATATAATAAAGGGCGTATAATGTGCGCTTATACTTAGACGTCCCTGGTCTTTTGGTTTGTTTTAACATTGTTAAATTAATAAAATAACCTTTGCTTAGCATGCTAGCCAGAGCTAGCAACCGGCTAGTATGAGTGGCTAACGTTAGCTTTCAATTGATTTAAATGTTTGGACATAAAAACCATGTTAATGTAACGTAACATTTGCTAGGTATGTTGACAGGATTGAATATTTTGTACATCAGATCGACGGCAGTCAGACACAATAGGTTGACTTCCATGTTATTTAAGTTTAGCATGTTACTCTCAATACCTGGCATCAAGACACCTTGGGGAAAGACAGGCATACACCTGACATGCGTAGTTTGACCTCGGGATGCCCTCAAAGAAATGGCTTTTATAGTGGTTTACCAACGTGGTTGTTTAATTTTTAATTTTTAATATCTTGTTATTGCACTCCTGAAATCAAGTACACGATGTAACTGGTTGATATCAATTGCAATTTAGGTTTTTTTTTTTTACTTTCAAAGTCAAAACTAGAATATATATATATACATATATATATACACACACACACACACACACACACACACATATATACATATATGGGATCCAACAATATACAGTTCAGTATATTTTTGTACTGAACTGTTCGATACAGTGTCTCGGTACACACTATAATTCTATTATAATATGCAATATTATATTTATTTTATCAACTACTAGCTATGCACTGCTGAACATTCTGCTACAAGGGGTAACTAGCTTGTTGCAATATGGCTAATGCCTTAAAATAGGGATGAAATTCATTGCGATGTGACACACTACAATTCAGTAATGTTCAACATCGATAATTTTTCTTAATACTGCAATGACAAGAACAGCATCACAGCGCACAGCAGGAAAATGAAAATCACACACGCTACCTAGAAAGATTCTTTAAGATGTCCTGGCAGCCCAGACACTTTAAGGAGTCTTCTAGGTCTTAAAAAATCTTTAAGCAATGGGTTTTGTTTATTTAGTGTGCTATTTCTTTTTAATATATACTCTGCTACTAAGAATGCACCACAGAAAACGGGTGATTTATCAGATGCAATGAGATTGATTACAAGGTATTCTGTTTTTGTTTTATATGGATATAACTTCTAAGTATGCACTCCAGAAAATGAGGAATAGCACCAGATACATCTAATTTAAATTAAAAACCTTACTTTTGAGTTGAAACAAATGTTAGTAATTTCAATAAACTTGGTTAAAAAAGGCATGGAATCATATAATATTAAAGACCTACACGTCTGTACCCGAGAAGAGTAACAGACTTAATGATTGCAGTAATTACACAAAATAATACTCCAAATGATATAATTAAATACTCATGGACTGGTAAGGCTGTCTGTGGCTTCAGAGGTAGTCTCAGGGTAAAATTGTTAGATAGTAAAGCCTTATTGATATTGTGGAAACTGCTGCTGCTCCCTTTCACAACCCCCTTCTGCTTTCATTTGGTAGTAAGCTGTAGGGTTTAAAGTGGAAGGGGCAAGATAAGAGTGTCCATGCTGGCTCAATTTCTCCCAGGCCTGAGATCCTTGCAGCTCCTCCACAGAGGATTGGTAGCATCAACCAAACCTAGGCTGGGAGATTCTGACCCATATAACATGACCATTATTGACAGAAGAATATTTTGGGTCAGATAGGATCTGTTTGGTCATGTGATTTTTTTTTTACCACACATTGGGTGAGAGTAGACACAGCCATGACTAATCCTTTATGTGGGACTGGTGCACAAGGCTGAAATCATCACTCTATTGTGTCTGTATAGTTTTCTAAAGTATTTTGTTATCACTGCCAGTAATTTAAAGACATACATGCATGATAATAGGGTAGTAGTAGGGTATTTATTTTAATTGTAAGAATTATTATTATAAAGTTGCCACAGCCCCTTTAGTTCTCTTTAGAAGTGTCATCCTGTGTTTGTTGTGAAAACATTACAGTGAGGTTTGTTCATCACATCACATCACCATTACTTTTGTGTTTTAAGCTCTTCAAAGTTATCAGTATAAATGAGCTACACATTTTAGGGTCTGTCAGATAAAGCGTGAGGTGCTGGAGACACACCAGACCAACTTTAGAATCCAAACATATAAGGTCAATGACTGCTGAAAAAATAATTTAGGTTTATGTTGGTTTTGTGATTGTTCATTGAAGCTATCCCAAATGAGTATTGTAGACAAGGGTCAGATAGCTGTGTTTTGCCCCATAGTTGTTGTGTAAACAATGTGTAGATAGGAGGATGGCTACGTCATTATGTCTGCACTTCAAGATGACAGATGGCATTTACTAGCTCATACCTTGAAGGTAAACTCTGGTTTAAACAGTTGTTGGCAAAACAATAAAGCATTATCAGCTAATTGCTGCAGTTAGCTCAAGTGTGTCCAGACACAGATATCAATTAATTTACTAAACGCCAAAGAGGGAGACCTGCTTAACTTCTCCTGCAGTGAATTGATAAAAGTGCAGCATGAAAGTAATGATGGCCTCATAAGCCCCACTGAATATTGATCTGAAATGTGCCAGGCTGAAAATGAGCCCCTGGTGTTACTGGTGAAGAAGTGCTCAGCTTAATTCTTCTGTCACTGGGCATGTAGTGAAGCTTACAGTTTCCATGCTAGGTACATCTAATTTACGTTGTATAGCCACAACAATTGTAATAAAAAATATTACTTATGTTCAGTGAATGCTCAATAATTGAATACCTTACAGCTAATAGTAATGGCTGGTATGTTGTGTTAAACATACAGCAAAACTTCTTCTTTTCCTTCTGGCTTATCCCTTTTTTTCAGGGGTTGCCACAGTGAATCATTGTTTTCCATCTCTCCCTGTTCTCTGTATCTTCTACTCTGACTCCAACTATCCGTATGTCCTCCCTCATTGCATCCATAAATCTCCTCTTTGTCTCCTACCTGGTAGCTCCATCTCTAAAATTCTTCTACCAATGTATCCACTGTCCCTCCTCTGCACATGTCCAAACCATCTCAATCTGGCTTCTCTAGCTTTTTCTCCAAACCTTTCCGTCTGCGTTGTCCCTCTAATGACCTTATTCCTGATCCTGTCCATCCTTGTCACTCCTTCATTCCTTGTATGTCTAGTACATGTGAAGAAATTAACAATAAAGCTGACTTTGGCTTTGGCAAGATAAAACATTTGTGTTCAATACAGCAATACTGTTGTTTCTCTGACATACATTGTTGTAAATTATGTGATACAACATCCCCTGTCACTGGTCTATTTAATAGAAAAATACATTTACACATGCTCATGCTATAATACGTGATCTATTAACAGATGTTGCATTTATGTGTTTATTGCATTTATGATGAGTTGCCAAATTTCACACTTGAAGAACTTGAAAAACTTCTAAAAATGTATTCCAGTGTACCTTTTCTATTGCACACTGTGTCAAACCCAAATATTTGTGACCGCTTTATGTATTGTATGATAGATGGTTACGTCTATCATACAATTTACCATTTAAGTCAATTTAAAAACCCTCTATGTTTTTGTCCACAGGGTGTGATCGGTGTACAGCTGGTGGTTACCATGGTGATGGCCAGTGTCATTCAAAAAATAATACCTCATTATTCCTTCGCACGATGGCTTCTCTGCAGTGGCAGGTAATGTGGCGGTCTGCAGTAGACAGTGCCATAGTTTTGGCAATCTTGACACAATACAGCTGACCAACTAGAAAGTGTATTCCCAAGCAAGTGCAAAAACAATGTGGATCATAGTGTTTTCCTGGATGCCTGGTGGTTAGCAAAAGTTTGAATACAAGTAGAAAAACATCATCTTAAATCCATCTACTAAGACTTAAACATTTTATTTAAATATTGAAGAGACTTAAAATGCCTGTACATATGAATAAAGCACAAGCTCCATTTTCTCTAAGTAGTTACTTTTTAGGACACATTTAATAAATCATTAATTTCCTTTTTTGTTAATGCAGCTTGTCATAAACTTTTGCCACAAACAGGAAGCTTGAATTATCCCTCCAGATAATGTTAAATATATAAATATTAATTATATTTAGTTATTAATTTTCCATTATAAACTAAATTTACATGTGGAAACACAAGCTGTGTTGTGCAAGTGCTCCTTAAGATGAGAGTTATGGTCAAAGCAAGACATTTTGCCACACATACATACAGGGTAATACGTTAAAAAAACAAAACAATCATGTATAGTACGTACGGTTAGGAAATCTAAGATACCGGCATGTCATGCGTGACATATGTACTGTATATATGGTTAGCATTTAATTAATGTAGGGTACCTCAGTTAGACACAGGAGGGCACTGTTGTTGTTGTTGTTCTACTGTTGACAACAGTCTAGGGAGGTTCGTGAAGGGTAAATACGTATACAGTAAACCCTTGTTTTTCGCGGGGGTTACGTTCCAAAAAGAACCCGTGATAGGCAAAATCCGTGAAGTAGAAATCTTTATTTTTTTTACAATTAAATACTCAGAAAAAGAAGAGAAAGAACGAACAAACCATTTTACAGTCTCAACCATTTGTTTCACAAATAAAGTAAAATAAAAGTACTTTAGAATGTAATCATTAAAAGTACCTCAACTTGACAGGATTTAGAAGTACAGTAAACCCTTGTTTTTCGCGGGGGTTACGTTCCAAAAAGAACCCGTGATAGGCAAAATCCGTGAAGTAGAAATCTTTATTTTTTTTACAATTAAATACTCAGAAAAAGAAGAGAAAGAACGAACAAACTGACACATAGGGACTCAGCCGCATAGCTTTTACCTTCATTTAGCATGTCCAATAGTTTTACTTTATCACCGATAGACAGCATCTTCCGCTGCCTTTTGGTCCCTACCGCAGGTACTTTTGCCGGTCCAGAGCGTTTTGTCGACATTATGGGGTTTGATAAACTCGAAATTGCAAGAGAATTTTCACGTACGTAATGTCAATTTGGCAAGCTGTTTTACGTACGTGTACATATTAAACCGCAACGTTATTGGCGCACAGGTAGAGAAGAAGCGGAGTGACTTTTTAGCCAATCAGAATGCAGAACACAATGCACGATGCAAATCCGTGAAGTAGCGAAACCGTGAAAAGTAAACCGCGTTATAGCAAGGGATCACTGTATACGTAAATCATCCTCATGCTTCATCCGCCTCATCCTTCTGAGTACGCATACTAATAACAATCGCATCCACTGAGCGAATAATTGTAAAATCTCACCATGACTCAAGCCAAGCATAAAGTACAATTCATCTGAATCGTGTAAACGAGCCGTATTCTTGGCTCGCAGGTGGACTTTAATTAATTTCAATTTTAATTTATAGAGCGCATTTCATGCACAAAGCAAACAGTGTGCTTTACAGACCACGTTATTTCGTGAAAGTTGTCATGAAATACACTGGTCCCTCTCCTATCCCAGTTGTTTTTTTTCAAGACCCAAGAAATGGGAAAATTTGCGAAGTAGAGCCTAGATAGTTATTAATGATTTACGTATATACGTTATTACCCGTCACGAACCTCCCTACATTGTTATCAACAGTAGAACAACAACAACAGCGCCCTCCTGTGTATAACTGAGGTACCCTACATTAATTAAATGCACACCATATATATAGTACATATGTCACGCATGACATGCCAGTATCTTAGATTTCCCAATCGTACGTACTGTACATGTTTTTTTTTAAATGTAATATCCTGTATGTATGTGTGGCAAAATGTCTTATCGTTTATTTAAATACAGTTTTTCCCTTTTAGGCTAGAATATTATTATCTTAAAAATACTTAACAAAAACCATGAAAATATTGGAAATTAAAACATTTTTAATGTTGGGAGATTAGATTAAAAAAAATCTGCGATGTACTGAGAAAGCGAAAGTAGAACCGCGATAAAGAGAGGGACCACTGTAACGTGAAAGTTAACACGTAATTACGTGAAACTTATTACGAAATAACGTGAAACTTGTCACTAAATATATAAAAATAATAATGGATTATATGTCATGAAGGTTTCTCGTGAGCACGACATACGTTGCTTTTCTTTTTTCTTTCCCATGTCCCTTTAGGGGCTCCATAGGGTTCTTCTAAACATAATTAAAAAATATATATATTTATTTTTTACAAAACATGGATAATCTGATTCCTGTCATTAAGAAGCAAAAGATAAAACCACAAAACTACTCAAGTTGATTGGCAGAATATCTGCAAATGTAGTCATAAAAAAAAAACATAACTCTGGTGGTCAACCACAACAACTCAATCAATTTAGGGTCCGTTTCCTGATCCATGAACCTATATATATGTAAATGTATTGCCTTAAACCTGCTGTTTTACCCCCTCTGTCAGAGTCATAGTCTGGTTCATAGTCCAGATCTTTTTCATGTTCTTTGTTCCCAGTCTGTGGTGGTACCAGCACCCCACGGAAGATGAGTTGAGGAGCTTAGCCGGGAAACAAAAAGGCCAGAAGAGGAAAGACAGGTATGTTGAGAGAGGAGAGAGAGAGTGAATGAGATGAAGGGGTATTGTTTGAGATGTGGGGGGGGGGGGATGTGGTTGCACAAAGAAGCCCCCCTTTATTAGAGAGGAAAGCAGAGATGAGACGCAGACGTTTGACAGAGGATGGAGACTACAGGCGTGCCAGCAAAGAGATGGCACCCGGTGTTGGTGTGGCTCATTTACAGCATGTTTGAAGTCAGGAGATGGGAGTGTAGTTTTTGTTGTTTTGCTGCTCTTCAGCTCTTCATCTAGGCTCAGGGATACTTGGCTCAGAAGTGGCCCTGTCGAGTGGATGTGAGGAAAGATGGGCCATAACTTTGAGGCGTTTTAAGCAGCTGCAGTTTAGAAGAATTGTGTTCCCCACAAAATCTCTAATCAAGTTTCCATTCTTAAAAAATCTCTTGCTAGAAGATCTCTTTGCAGTCAGAAGTTGAAGCATATGTCAAATATGTGAATTAAACCCAGTTTCCTTTGTGCTTAACTGAAGACTAATCCTTACAGTTCTGCATGGTGTCCAGCTCCTACATTAAAGCTGTTTCTTGTAGCCTTTTCTCTGTCCCCGTATGAGCCGGGTCAGTGCTCTCTGGCACCACATGTTCAGTAATCCCTGGAAGAAAAGGATGGGCCACTGTCCTTTTTTGCCAGCTCGTGCCATGCCGCTCCATTCTTATTGTTAACCATCTGACTCCCTCAGCGAGTGGTGCCTGGGCTGCTGAACTCCTTTTTCTGCCTGTCAGGTGCTTCAGACATGAAATCTGTCCAGGACATGTTTGGTCCAAATAGTCTTTGGGGGCTATTGTCCACTGAGTCCCGCACACACACACAAGACTGAACAAACAAAGCCCAGAGCAGAAAAGGTCCACCTTACATTTCTTCAGACCTGGAGGGGTGGGGGGGTACAGCGCTCTGTTCGCCTGCTGTTAGCGATTTAACTCTGCCTATGAGCTCAGTCATGGAAGTCCACAAGTATTAGTAGCAACAATGATAAAAAGAGCAATGCCTGTAACTGAATGTAAAACATGGAGAGTCACAATTTCAACTTTTCTACTTTATTTAAAAAAAAATACTTTTAGGCACATATGTGTATTTGTTTTATTGCTAAATCTAAGAATGTTTCATTATTTAAGATCTTACACAATGGTCTCTAGTGAAATCTAAAATGGTGTTTTTGTTTCTTGTCCCCTTAATATAGGAAGCACAATGGTCACATTGAAAATAAGCCTCTCACTGTTCCCAAGGACATAGACCTGCAGCTGGAGATGAAATGTATCACAGAAGTCGACACATTAGGTAGAACTCTAACAGAGCTCATGATGTGAAAAATGTCCCATCCCCCTAAATTTTTACCCACTGTTATCTATATATTTTATCAATTTCATTTTTCCCATGTGCCTCGCAGCATTGCACTACTTCCCAGAGTTCCAGTGGCTGGTAGATTTCACAGTGGCAGCAACAGTGGTGTATCTGATAACAGAACTCTACTACAGTGTGGCTCAGCCCTCGGGAGAGATGAACATCAGTGTGGTCTGGTGCCTTCTTGTACTCGCCTTTGTCATGTATCCTTACATCAGTTCCTTTTTACATCTTGGTTATTTTTTTTTTCTTCGTCAGAATGTCAGATCCACCAAGCAGCCATGTGTTTAAAAAAAGGTATATACGGAACATTTGTTGTACACGAATGAGCTGGTGACAAACCAGCTTTTATGGAATCTTTGAAATTGAAATTATTTTCACTCTACCTTCTTCACACACTTTATGTATACATCTTCAGCTCTTAGTATATAGGAGAAACCACATCATTGCAGCTTGATTGTATTGCTGCTGCAGTTAGAGGCAAGAGGCAATAGAATGACAGCTAAAGCTCCAACTAGCATGATGCCACTGCCTCTGTGCTCCACAGCAACATGCTATTTTGCTCCACTGAATGACTGTTAAAAAATATGCATTATCCTTGGCACCAATTGCAGGGATCAATCTTTCCAGTCCTCTTGCTCGGGCCCAGCTCACTGTGGTCAGATGATGTGTCATTTCCTGCCTACGTTATAGATTGGGGCTCCAATTTTCATAGCCCAACATACTGATATGCTTGAGGGCGGAAAAAGACAGACTTAGGAACAGATGATATGGAACCATAAAAATGAGGGAATACAGTATATTGGCTCAATATATGTGTTAATGGGCCACTAGATTTCAGTTTTCCCCATTTCTGCTCTGATAACATGTTTAAGACTCTTGCCCTGGAGATCAGCCCTGCTGTTCACATAAAACCAGCATGCGATGCTCAAACATTTGCATCAAATGATACCTCACGTTTTCACAGTTTTAGGTTTGGCCTGTGTTTACAGGCTAGGTCGGCAGATGGTGTTAATACAGCCATCCTCACTGCACTGAATAAGGGTTTGAGAAGATCAGAGGGATAAAGTGCGATCCTAAAAATTAACTTAAAGGTTGTAGAAAAAAAAATTGGCAGGCTGGCTCCTGAAATATACTGCAGGAACTGCGATTTTCCTCCTCTGTGGTGAGGAGAGCTCTCTTAAGAAAAATGTTCTGCTCCGAGCTTTCGGATCACTGACAACAAGGGCAGAGTAAAGCACAGCCCTGGATGACATGCACACAGTGATGCTAAAGCCCTGGATTATGAGAAAATTAAAAACCAAAGCAAGGTTTGAATGTTCAGTATTTTTTTGTCCAGGTTGTTCACATGCATGCATTTCATTTTTTCCTTGAATCTGTAAAAGCCAACCAGCCTTTTTGTTTCCTTTGCTTAAAATGCCATTGTACTTGTAGAGATGTTTTCCCTTGACTCCGTCCTCACAGCAAGACGCTTTTCTCTTTAACGGCCCACTACTTTAAGCTGGAGGAAGGAGGCGAGCGCTCGCTCTGCATTACATTTGCTTTTTTCTTTTTCGTGAAAGCCATGGCCATCCTCATCATCACTGAGAACTACCTTGAGTTTGGTCTGGAGACTGGTGAGTGCTCCTCTGTACTCATCTTACAAATCATCATGTTGGGTAACATTTTTTATTGTTTTTAGCCTCCACTGAGTGAATCACTGTTCAACGTTTCATCATTACTAGGTTTTGCAAACTTCTCAGACAGCGCTCTGCAGTTTCTGGAGACACAGGGTTTGGAGTCCCAGTGAGTAGATTATCAGTATTCTTACAGTTTATTTTTTTGTATTCTCTGGCTTCATGAATACTTCATGAAACTACAGTAGTATAACTCTGTTTTCTCCTTTGCAGGGGACCAATCTCTAAACTCACATTCAAGCTGATTCTAGCATTGCTCTGTTCTCTAATGGGAGCCTTTCTAACCTTCCCTGGTCTAAGATTGGCCCAGATGCACCTGGATGCACTTAATCTGACCACAGACAAATTTACTCAGTGAGTCCACGAGAGTCATTAGTACATTTTTTTATTTTTTTTTTGCTTTTCTAAAACTTGGTTTTTTGCTAATAAATATAAAATGTTGAAACATTCCATGGTAAAACAGTGAATGAAAATGTTTTCCATGGCAGTCTTTCTGGTCCTGGCTTATTTGATATGATGTATTCAAGTTCTCTTCAAAACCTAAATACCAGCCTGTTCTATTTTTGTACCCTGAATCCAAATACGGTTCCACATCGTACTTATCTCCTACTGAGACAGCTTTAGATGCAAGAGAGCACCCTGGGAGTCAGATGAAGACTTCATCTTTCGGGACAGATTTCTGTTTTTCAGAACTCTCTGGGTGGCAAGTCTTCAACCCTAATAGGGGGAGTAGAGCAGGGAGCACATCACATCCTGATAATCCATTTTGACATAGGCAGAGTCTCTCTCCTCTTCTCTTCTGGCCTTCTCTTTTTCCCTTCACTCCTGATCAGAGTTGTCAGGATTGTCACTTGCAGGAATTTTTACTCAGTCATATGAAATTTGTGCTGCTGTGGAACTAAAATTAACCAGTTTGCAATGCTATATTTGTTCATCAATAATTGCTTTAAGAAAATTGTGTTCATTTTTTTTTCCTAATCACCTGTAGGTTTTCCCTCAATCCCTTCTTTTTTGCAGAACTCTGCTTCATATCAACTTCCTCTCCCCTCTAATTATGGTCCTGCTGTGGGTCAAGCCCATTACCAAGGACTATATAATGAACCCCACTCTGGGAAAGGAGAGTGTACCTTTGTGAGTATAAAATTGTACAGTAATAATAATTCCTGTTTGATCTAGATGTTTGTATAACACAAACAGAACAATGTGTTATGTCTAAATTGGTTCAAATTACAGGAGAAAATAAAATGCTCATGGTATTATTTAATTTCTGTGTTGACATGAACACGCATTCAGGACATTTTCCAACATTTGGGAACCTTGTGCGATCTCTTCCTATCAAACTTAACATTTCACATTATTCTATATCTAAAGAGGGGATTTACACAATTCCCTGTGCTATTTGTGTTCATCTGCAGCTCCTTACTTAACTCCTTCACTTTTGTTGATCAACTCTTTCACCAACACACATTCTCAACTTTTGCTACCAACCTTCACCAAACACTTATAACACTTATACACTAAGTCCTACAAAACACCCATTCTTTAAAAGGAGAAACAATTAAAAATCATTACATAAGTACATTTTCCACACTGTCGAATGAATAAATAAATAATATATTAAGTGTAATTAATTGCTCTTGCTTCCCCAACTTTGCCCCGCTGCTTGGAAACTGCTGTGCTGCCCCAACAGGGGCGTGCCACCCCCACCTTGGGAACCATGGCATTAATCCAGGACAAAATTTTGTATCTGTAGATTGTGAAAAACAATCTTCATACTCTAATCTTCATGTCTCTGCTTGTCATAATAAAAGAAATTGCTGCATCAGCCCAGAGCCCTGAGCCCACGTGCAGCCCTCCAAGCTTTTCACATGTCATTGTCAGTCACATCTGGTTGACTGTGGCTCAGTAGGTACAGTAATGCAGTTGTCCTACAAGTGGTGGCTTATGGGCTCCAGACTTGATAATTTATGTTTTTCCCCTGGCAGTGCAGCTGTCTGTAGGCAGATTGCAAAACATGTATAGTAAATTACAACCCTAAGTTTGTAAACTAAGATGTGATGTTCCTGTTAAAAAATAACATGAATAATATGAAAAGATTTGTTTTATTTTTACATACATTTTAAATATTTGATACAATGTGCACTTATGTTGCTAAGGCTGCATATCCATCCATGTCAAACCAAGTCTTATGTCACATCTCACATATATAATTCTTTTCATCCTTTACTCTTATTTCTCCACCCACCATCCAAGTGATAGAGCACAGATGTGATGTGACGAGTTAGTGATCCAGTACACCCCTCACCCTTTATCTTTCTCTTTTTTGTTGTTGTTCTTGTTGTGTTATTAACACCAGGATGAGTGAGCAGACATATGACACGCTGCGTTTATGGGCCATCATTCTCATGTGTGTTCTGCGGCTCGCTATGATGAGACATCATTTGCAAGCCTACCTCAGCTTGGCCCAGAAGGGCATAGACCAGATGAAGAAGGAGGCAGGACGGATAAGTACTGTCGACCTGCAGAAGATGGTAAGGAAAATCATTTAAAGGCTCTTAGTCTGGACACTGAATATGCTTAATATATACACAATTATTATTGTATTAAAAGTAGATGGGGTAGACCATCTACAATGAAGGACAGTGAAAGAAAGTGTGCAGGCAGGTGATGGAGACAAGTGTCAGACAGATGAATAGCAGCAGGATTAAAAGGTCAGGTTTGCAAGACAGAAGTGAGACCAGCTATGATGTATGGTTCGGAGAATGTGGCTCTGATTGACAAAAAAAGGCTGCGCTGGAAGTGGTTGATGTGGAAGTCGAGATGAAGATGCTGAGATCTTCACTATCAGTGACCAGGATAGACAGGATTACAAATGAGCAGGTCAGAGGAACAATTAAGGTGGAGCAGGAGGAGTAGTGTTGGACCAGGGATGTTGGAGATTGAGCTTCCAGGCAAGATAGGAATAGGAAGGCTCCAGATAATACTTGTGAATATTGTAAGACAAAGTACATGAAGATGGCCAGAGTAAAAGTAGAGGATGCAGGAGATGGTATCTGCTGTGGCGACCCCTGAAGGGAACAGATGAAAAAACAAGAAGTAGAAGAAGAATGTAACCACAGTAAAAGGAAAAAAAGTTACTTTTTTTTTCTCCATTTTCATTTCCCCTTATCCTTTCATTTAGGTTGCACGTGTTTTTTACTACTTGTGTGTAATCGCACTACAGTATGTGGCGCCCCTGGTGATGCTGCTGCATACAACATTGCTGCTAAAAACATTAGGTAAGTCCAGCACAGCAAAGGGATTTTTTTTTTGTTGTCTTTGTTTCCTTTGGCCCAAAAACAAAGAAAAAGAAAAAAAAATCCTTTCTTTTCTTGCTTTCATGCAGGAGGGCACTCATGGTGGGTCTACCCTGAAGAAGATCTGCCCTGCACCCACAATATGAACTCTGACTTTATAGTGCAAGCAGCATCTCCGGCAGCAGCGTCAGCTGTAGAAACAGGGGCTGGAGCGTCAGTAGCACAGCTCTCTGTGGCCCTTGGGGGCCTGCGGACCGTTTTTAGCCCTTTACTTTTCAGGGGTCTGTTCTCCTTTTTTACTTGGTGGGTTGCCGCCTGCCTCTTCTCCACCTCCCTCTTCGGTCTCTTCTACCAACAGTATCTCATGGCAGCATAGCATCCGCACACCAGCAGCGACAGACTGAACCCCACAGAGTCACTGTACGTCCAGCCTGGTCAGAAAAGACTGATTACTGATGGATGTACTCCATCAGCTCCATAGCGCCTCCTTCCTCCTCCCTCTCTTTGACCACCTCTCACTGACCGACCATATTATGTGAGCTCGTGGTTCAACCTCCAGTGCTTCCGTCAGCGATGACTCAACTTCTTTTAATTTGAGAGCAAGATTTTTACATTTTAATAACAGACTAACGAACAAATCAGTCATCTGAAACTCTGTGTCAGTGGTCTAGTACCTGGTGTTGTAAAAAGACGTTGATCCATTTTGCTGTATCAAATATGACTGAATGCCAGTTATGATTGCATCTGTGTTCCTTTCAGTTTTTTGGCCTTTTTAAAATAACTTTGTGCAGAGACATACTGATCACAAACAGTGTTTTCTTTTTTTAATACATAGATTTTTTTTTATTCTAGAAAACTGTCATTACAATCTCCTACAGACTGTTCATCTACACTGCCCCTGTGGCGATGGCAAAAACACAACACCACTGACATATCTGGTAAAAGGTTAGTTACTAAGCATGACTCGTTACATTTGCACGGTTTAGGTTTCATCTGTTGATATTTGTCGTACTCGCAGCATGTTGACATTTAAAGTCTTTGTACACCACACACGTATCCTCTCCCCTTGTCATCTATTTGTAATTTTGCTGAGTTGTTTAGATATCAGGATTTTTTTTTTCAGTGTCTGGAAAAAGTGCAGCATCTAGAAACTTGATTGCCCCCCCCCCAACTCCCATCGAATTACACAACATACAGCCAGTTCTTTACATACCTTATTTTGCTATAAGTCATTGTAAAAACGGTTTAAACATTTTTTTTTTTCTGTGATGAGGTTTTTTTTCTGTACTTTACATTTCCCACTGCACCAGGAGAAGTTAATATAAGCAGAAGTAGGAGTAGTCTACTGATGGAATCTCACAAGCGTTCAGCCTTGTTATGTAACTTATTATTACCAGCATTTTCCAATTAATCGTTAGGGTGATTAGTTCAAAACGACACTGTGCCGTTTCCTTATGTGCCTGTTGTCGTGCAAAGGCCTTTAAAAGTTATGGAGTCGTCACAAGTCCAGTCTGTATCACAATTCAAACAAAAGTGCTCATTTCAGTCTATTGCATCTGTCAACGTTTGCGTGTGTTTGAGTATTATTTTATATTAATAAAATTTAAAGAGTTTCTATTTACTGCCAATCTATGACCCCTAACTTAAACCCACCGACCACAGACTTTTGAAGGAGTCAACACGTTGCATTTGTAAGCAGAGGAAGGATGGAAGCCTATCGATAATACTGCAGCAGAGTTTTGTTTTTTAATATGTTTTACAAAAGGTGTTCTTAAATGTTAGGGTCAATTCTGACTTTACCACTCATCTGGTTTTAACTGAGCCATTTTAGAGACTTTAAGAATTGAGTTTGTGTTTTGTTTTTGAAAGGAGGAAATAATCCAAATAGTAGACAGTACTTATGGTACAGTGAGTCTTAAATGGTCTGTGTCCGTACGATCTCGGCTGTTGGTCAGGTGTGGAGTCCCATGGCATTGTGATGGAGAAGTGATGTCAGCTGCTGTTGATAAGCTACTGTCTTTATCATTTGGGTCTTGGTTTTTCTCCATTCTAATTTTATTAATGAATAAAAATGGTTCTGATTTATTTTCTGTCTTGTTGAACAAAATATTTTTATTGTGCCAAGTAAGTTGTTCCCCTATTTCACAAAGAATCTGTTGCTGAAAATGTATTGTTTTTACCAAGAGCTTTTAATAATGGGAATTCTTCATTTTGGTTTTAGATTTTTTTCATATATATTATATATATATATATATATATATATATATATATATATATGTGTGTGTGTGTGTATATATATATATATATGTATATACATAAAACATAAAAAGTTGTGAAACAGAAGAGACAGTGAACACTGTCTTCCATTGGAGGCACAAGCAATTTCCATGCTGCAAAGCTCGGGCTAATGTGACTGTCAAGGAATGTAGATTTAATTCCATTGTCATGTTCATCAAAAATCCAGAATTGTTTCATATTGTATGTGCGTTTTGTACAGGAAACATTTTGCAAATTCACATCATACCATATCACAGTTCTACACAGTAATACTGACGGTCGTGGCACCTGTTTGTTTCAAACAGCAGGGAATGAGCACATAATGAATGTATAGATATTTGTTTTATTTCTAGATTGTTTTAAAAGGATCTAATCTGTTAGTTGGGTTGATTTTTTTTTAACTTTGATTTGATAATTCTGTCACACCCAGACATATTTGTCCTAATGACTTTCTTATTGTTGATTTGTTTGTTTTTTTATGTATTGTGGCCTGTAAACATTTCTTATTTTCAACCACTTCCTTTACAACTGTTATCACGTTATCTGCGCATATTGGTTAAATCGGGTTTGACAAATCAACAACCGTTATTTTAAACGTTAACAATGAGATCCGTGAGCTGGGAACTTTCCAGAATTCAGATCAAGCTTCTCTCGTTTGTTACCACTGAAAGTGTTCTATCATTTGTTATTGGCTTCACGAGGGTATCACACGTTGTTCTTTCATGTATTTATTTCTGCTCTAGTCTTAAATAAATTATGTTCCTTAATAATGTCCTTTTTATATTGTCCTACGGTCTGTTTGTGTGTTTTAATGTAGCCTTGCTTTTGAAGATCTGAGTTTCTTCTCATTTTGTTCTTCTTCATTCCTTCCACTCAGAAGATTCCTGGGTCCTTGTCATTTTCTTCTCAAGACCATGGACTATTTTTACCCACCAGTAAGAGTTCCTCACACTTAATAGACCATGGCAGAATAACTCGGGGATAAGACCTCTGCTGATGGTGTAGGAAACCAGGGTTTAAGGACTTGGAGTTGTTTCACCAACGAGTACAAGTTCCTCACAACTTCTTCTCCATGGCAAGTAAGCTCAGGTGCAAAACCTCTGATAATGGAGCAAGAGACCTAGGTCCACCACTGAGGAATCAAATCCTGGTCAAGGCAAATGTCACTCATTTGCAAAAGTGCAATAAAACCACAGGGATTTATCACCAAAAAGGTGTGTTTGTTTGTCAAAGAGCTTTGTGGAGATTTTTTTTCTTTCTTCCTCTGTTTTGTTTCTCATCTATCTCTAACATCCCGGAAACATCACTCCAGTTCTTTACCCCTGAAACTGTATTGGCTTCACATTTGATGACTTCAGCAATTTTTTTATGTAGTAAAAAATACTTTTTAAGTCATGACAAATGTCTTAAATAAGGTCACCGGTGAATGGTGAAACCATCCTTATCTTGAGATTAGGATTTTTTTAAATACCTAGAGTTACATTTACTGAGCTATTAATCAGCAGTACTTCCCCCTATGTACTTGTTCAAGCGTGGCCGCGCACACATTCATGACATCTGTAGTACTGTTCATATAACAGGCGCTGAGTCCACACAGAAGTGTCTTAGTGAGCAGCTATATTCTGTTATGTCTAACAGTTTGTCTGCATGGGGCTCAACCTAAAAGGGCACTGGGGCTCCTTTTAGCTCCTCAAGGTCCCAGATGATATTGTGTTGATTCTGCTCCATGGATTGGTCTTTGTAAGATGTGTGTCCCTAATACTGTAATTGTGTTAAAGCATCAAGCACCATGTCCTCCTGCAAACCTGCATTGATTCAGGCAATCAATGGCCATCGATTTGCTTTTCCTACTTTGGTACTTCTGTTCTCGTGGGAACGGTTAGTTAGGAATAGATTGGGGGGATGAAATTACATATGGTCCCTGGGTCCTTCTTAATGCCCGTGGTTCTCACCGGGGCCAGTTAATGGAGGCTGTGAGTGACATTGTCCTCATGAGCTGGAAAACTGGGCCAATGCATTCATTGGTAGGTAGACAGATCAATAAGACAGCCTCCAAAACAAACCACTGAAGAGTTCCCTTTATTCCCCTCGAGTGCTCCATTCACCCAGGTCCCTTCTCCATAGAACGACGTGGAGTGGAGACCCCCACCTCACACCCCACACTCACCCACTACTCCCCCTAGGGCGCACTACACACACTCACTCACACACACACTCACACAGACATGGTTATCAGCAGAAGAAGTGAGGATCTTGCAGGATAATGGTCAGCGTTCTCTCTGACAGAACAGCGATGCAGGAGTGACAACCACAACCACACACCGACAAGACCGTTTTGTGAATGACCTGGAAGAGAAAAGAGAACACTTTATTCTGCTTGAAGACCTCTGACCTGTTTTTAAACTTTCTATGCAATCACATCTCCAAGTATGACAAAGAGAGAGAGAGAGAGAGAGAGAAACAGAAACAGAAGAGACTCCCTGTTGAATAAAGTGTCCATTATGCACTGGTTGACTGACATCAGCGCGCAGCAATAAGCTTCAGTGTAACACATGCAATTATTTGCTTTTCATTACCATGACAACAACATTTTCAGAAGCTGCTGTGAGTGAAATGTAAATTAAACAGAACTACTAAAATAGGGGCAGAATAAAAACTGGGAACACAGTCACAGAGTGTTCAGAGTTGCTATAATCAGAGGTGGGTAGTAATGAATAACACTTACTCCGTTACATTTACTTGAGTAGGTTTTTCAAAATAAAATACTTCTAGGAGTAGTTTTAAATCACTATACTTTTTACTTTTACTGGTTTTTTTCTTTCCTTTTGCTGTGAATAGGCGAATGTTTGTCCTGTTAGGTAACATGAGTACTCCGTGCTGAGCTCGATCTGCTTGTAGCCTCAAAGATGTGTTTTTATCCACAGAGGGTCCAGAGGTTTGGAAGTTTTTGTTACTTGTGCTGTCATTAATTAAGTTATTTCGTCAATATATACAGTGGGTACAGAAAGTATTCAGACCCCTTTAAATTTGTCACTCTTTGTTTCATTGCAGCCATTTGCTAAAATCAAAAAAGTTCAATTCATTTCTCATTAATGTACACTCAGCACCCCATCTTGACAGAAAAAACAGAAATGTAGAAATCTTAGCAAATTTATTAAAAAGGAAAACTGAAATATCACATGGTTATAAGTATTCAGACCCTTTGCTGTGACTCTCATATTTAACTCACATGCTGTCCATTTCTTCTGATCCTCCTTGAGATGGTTCTACACCTTCATTGGAGTCCAGCTGTGTTTCATTATACTGACTGGACTTCATTAAGAAAGCCAGATATCTATATCTATATGTCTATATAAGACCTTACAGCTCACTGTGCATGTCAGAGCAAATGAGGTCAGTGGAACTTCCTGAAGAGCTGAGAGACAGAATTGTGGCAAGACACAGATCTGGCCAAGGTTACAAAAAAATATCTGCTGCACTTAAGGTTCCTAAGAGCACAGTGGCCTCCAT